ATTTCTTTTTTGCTGCTTTTTCTCTCTTTCCATTCCAAGTTTGCATATGAATTGGACTTATGTCTGATATCTTATTCTCTTAGACTTTAAATCTGCCCACCACTCCACACAGTTTTTGCATACAAGTCCTGTGAAATATGATTTAATACAATAACAAGAAGAATTATTGAAGGCTGTAACTGTAAAACTAAGGATTTGAGAGGCTTGCTTCAGAATAAGAGGTTGAACCATACTAAATCTATTTTCCATTATTTTTCTGAAAGTAAAACCACTTTGGACTGAGCAAATGTGACTCAGACCCTCTTTTCAAACTTGCAATGTAGAATTATGTTCTGAATGTGTCTTCCATATTCTATTTCCATATCTCCGTGTTCCAAAGGGGTAGCATTTTACAAAGAAACAGGAAATACCAAACAAGACCTCAGCTCACGAAGCTGGAATAACCGATTGGCCATGATTCTGGCATACAGCAAGAGGTTACAAGAGGCATTTATGCAAACAGGAAAACAAAGATGAAGAAGGGTTTTTAATCTCAAAATTTGAGAACTGCATCACACCGCTGCATGTGACTGATGGAAGCTATAGTTCAAAACAACTGGAGAACACCAGGCTGAAGGGAGGGAAAATGTACAAGAGTCTATTTGATATGATTAGAACTTGGGAAGTCAAGTAGAGACTGCCTTAGGTTCACAGTGGCAAAATGGAGATGTGCAGCCTACTCATTGATAACACCGTTTTTCCTCTATATACAGTTTTTCCTCTATATACAGAGAAGGCATCCATGTGGGAAAATGTCCCATAGTCCTGGATTTGGCTTTTGAAATGAAAAGAAGTAGCAGCAAAGAGGTAAGCCAGAGACTCATGTTTCTACTTTCTTCTCTTCCGACAAAATATCCAAAGATATTTGCCCAAGGAGCTGCAAGTATAGCTCACCCAAACAACTTCCTCTTTGGACTGTGACATCAAATATGTGAAAAGCTGATACACAAAGCACACCTACAAAAGAACGCAAGAAGAGCCTAGTTGCTGGATCAAGTCAAAGTCCCATCAAGTCCAGCATCCTGTTCTTACACGGTGGCCAAACAGGTGCCTATGCACTTTAACCCTAACCCTCCACACTTGCAATTTTGTGTTTGAAGGAAATGCTACTTGATATCATTTCTAGTTTCATGGTCTTGGAGCAACTTGTTTTTACAGCTTCGTAGCATGTCAGAGGTAAACAAAGAAGAAGAAAAGGAGCAGCAACAATACTACTATGGCAAAAGGTTATTTATAGCAAATTAAATCCTGGTACCCCAGAACAAGCAAGCAAAAACTAACCTGAGTGATAGAACAGGATGCAACCAACTCATCAGAAAAAGGAGAGACTCCCCACTGCACCCCCAAACCTTGCAGACTACTGCTCCATGTAGGAACTTGTTTCTGTATTTTCCTTTCAGAATGGAGGCAATAACCTTATTTGCCATCCCAGAGATGACGCTGAGGAACAGTGGGAATGGTATTGCTGTTGGTAAACAGTTTGCCATTTGACATCTATAAGCCCACAACAGCAAAACTCCAATTTCCTATGAAGTGTTTTTAACCTCTTGGTATGTGTGTGTCCTTTGGAGATCTTGGCCTATATTATCTCTATTATAGTTAAAGCATACATCTCCTCCTAGACACTAATCTAGACACTCTCCTCCTAGACACTAATCTAGACACTCTCCTCCGAGACACTAATCTGTTTCGGTTTCCCTGGAACACTTAAAGTGGAGCCCCAAAGAGCCAAATAGCCTTTCAGTGCTCAGCACTCCCATTCAGCCATGTAGAGGAAGGGCTATCGCTCTGTGCGAGGGCACCTGCTTTGCATGCAGAAGGCTCCCAGTTTGATATCCGGCATCTTCTGCTAGAGTTCCCTGCCCCAAACCCTGGAGAGCCACTTCCAGCCACCGAGCTGGAGGGACCAATGATCAGATTCAGTGTAAGGCAGGTTCCTACAATCCTATCCAATTGATATTTCACAGAACTAGAAATGGGTTTCCAGGCATCCCTGTGGTTTTGCTCTCATTCCCTCGGAACTGCTATGCAAAGATTCTGTTAATTCAGAAAGACACAGTGAAAACAAAGCAAGACACGATCAGCTTCAGCTTGAAACCAGATTTTATGTTTCAAAAATAACTTAGTCCTGCCTGAAATGATGAGGGACGAGAGCTGGTTTGGCTCCTCCATCTCTGCCCTTGATTCAGTAGGCTTGCTTCACACATGACTCTGGCGGCAGCACAGTTCCTGACGGAGAAGACAGAAAGTCTTTCTGCCTGGCAAGTCACATGGTTTTGAGCGAGGAAGAGGATTTCACCAACATGGTATGTAGGAGTCGTTCCCCACAAATGGCTTCCTATGTGAAAGGATGAGCATTCAAGCCTGCCTTTCTGGTGACAATGATACCACAAACAGGTAGCTTTGTGGCGCTGAGCAAACCCCCCCCCCATGCCAGCCACAAATCCTTCACCTAACAGATGGAACCATGTCCTACCTTGCAGGCCTGTTGTAAGGGCAAAAGCAATGACTGAAATTTTAAAATTCTATCTCAATTCGACACCAGGTCCCCTGTAGCCACAGTTTGGAACTGAACTCAGCTCAGAGGTTGTAGTTCTACACAAGCTTAGCTCAGCACCTGTCTTTCATTTATACTAGCCACTGAAGAAAAGAAACATCATGCCTGTCTACAATATCTCAATTCATATCTTTTGGACTTGGAAGCCAAGTTTCAGTTTTTAGTGCATAGGAACCTCCGCTACAAGCATTCAAGAAAGTGATTTGGGATGGTGGTGATGGAAGGATAGATATAAGCAACTACTTGCATAAGACTTGTATATCTCAACACCAATGCATGGGTTTTAAAAAGCTAGGTGGCTTTCTGACTCACCAATCAGCTTAGAAAACAAAAATTGCAAGACAATGTGCCAAAGAGCATTAAAAACCGATGAAAACTGACTAGGCCGATTAAACAAAAACCCTTCACCTATTAACAGAATCCCTGCATTAATGATGGACAATTGTCTCACTGAAGGAGAGAGAGGCTGTGCCTGGTATCAGAGCTTAGCTACCCCATTGGGATGTGGTCTGTAGCTGCCAGCTGGCTAAATAGGGAAAAGATGGAGGTTGTGAACACACCATACGTTTAAAGCACATTCAAAGCCCAATAATCTGGGCAGCTGTAGTTTGTTAAGGCTGCTGAAAATTGTAGCTCTGTGGGGGCAAACTAAAGTTCCCAGGATTCCTGCGGGGAGGTGCCTTAAAGACATGGTGTGCACACAGACAGAGACTCTACTAAGTGTCCCGCAGCCTCAGCAGGTGAACAGGACAAACATCAGTGAAGCCGCTCGATTTAATGTGCAGTATAGTTAATGCACTCTGCAACATGCAGAGCTCCCTGTCTCCTCCTTGGCACAATTCAAGTGTGTCGGGACATTTTGGGGGAGCATATCCTTACCCTTCTTTCCTCACTATGTTCCATCATGGAATGTGAGTTCAGAGCAGGATGGAGATATGGAAAGCATATACAAGCTTCCTGTGCCCCTGCACTGTGGGGGGAGGCTTTCTGTTATGCCCTTCTGTTTCCACAGTGAACTGGACTGAAACTTGGGGTTGCACCCAACTAAATCCTACTAAATCAGAGCAGATCCACAGAGCAGACTTCAGTTAGTGGGGCCATTAACTTCAATGGGTCTAACATTAATGAGCAGGCCTAACACTAGAGGCCCCCCACCAGATTTTAAATAGAGGACATGGATATGCCAACTAGTACCATGGAGGGTAATGAAATGCAGGTACAGTGGAAATGGAACAACCACAAGGAAAGCCAAACCAAGCTTACTCAATTCACCAGCATTCCCACCTGACTCAAATTCCATGCTACTTTGGGTCCACTGCTACCAGGAGAATAGTATGTCTAGGAGCCCAGCCCAGGAGCAAATTCCGCCAAGCGCACCTTTTGAGATCTCAGCTGCAAAATTCAACTAGGGATGTCTCCTGGCTCTTCACAGACCGAAATATGGAAACGGCGCCCCCAAATATTGCTGCCCAGCTGGTTTGCAAAGCTTATGCAGCACTGTTTTGCAAAAGGAGAAAGGGGGGGGAGCCACCTCCAAGTTTGGAAGGCCACCTGGCTTAGTGCCATGTATCCCAAGAGGCTGAGCGATGGAAGACCTCCTGGGAATTTGAGTAAAATCAGATGATAGCGCGAGGCAATTGCCCTTCGTGTTTTGCATCTTTCGGCAGATTTGCAAGGGAAAGCAATCGTCATTAAGGCGGCCGAAGGTGCGCTTGTCGCTACGTAACCGGCGTTCGTACCAAGACGCACAATCAGCTGATTTTTCTCTACCACTAGATGGCACTGCAGCCTTTCGGTGCTCCTTCTCCCAGGCAGGCTAGAAAATTACGCCGCTGACTCCTCCGCTTTGCTTTTTGTGAAGACTCCTGACACAGTCCTTCAGTTTGCAGATTTCCTATAACGAGGACTCATTCGCGGAGGCATCTTGAGGAAACACTTTGAAGCAGTCTACACATGCAGCAGAATCAAGTGGCAGAAAGGGCCATAAGGAACAGGTGACAGGTGTGCGGAGGTGATGCTCCTGGGGGGGAAGAGATGCTGCTGCTGCAAATGCTGGCATATCAAGGAGAAAGAAGCGAGCTCAGACTGGTGCCTATTGTGCCGCTTGCTGGCAGGTTATTTTCTGAAGTGAAAAAGGTGACCCATTGCAGCCTGAAAGGATACAGCCTACCCTACAAATTCAGGACTATACCACCTCATTGTTCCTGCATGGGGAGGCAGAGAACAAGAATGCCTCCTCCCGCACGAGAAACAAAAATCTTCAGCTGTTAATGCCTTGGAAATTAGGAGCAGGGCTAGCGGCTTTGTACTGAGCAGACCTTTGATCCTTCCAAATCAGTATTGTCTCCAGTGACATGGCAGTGGCTCTCCAGGGTGTCAGACAGGGGATCTGTCCTGCCCTACCTTGAGATGCCAGGATTTGAACCAGGGACCGCTTGCATGCAAGACCGATGCTCTTACCACTGAGCTAAATCCCCAAACTAAATCCTCACCTTCATATTCTTGCTAATCTTTAATGTGTCCTAAAAAGGCCATAGGTCATTCACTAGAGGAGTTGCACCTCCCGCCCCCACAATTTTGTTTTGGTGCTGTGGTTCATACGGAAAGAATGCGCACAACACACAGGCAGCCGAAGGGAGAATGCAAGACAGCACAAACTACAGGGTAGATATAGCCAAGTATTCATTTATTAACAAAATAAGACTTACCAGGACGGAGCTCTTATCACCCAAAATGATCCGCAGCCTTCCGCGCTGCGTTAAGACTGGGGATGGGGGATGGGGGTGGGGCTCCACAACCTAATGACAGTTCCATTCCCATAGGTCAAGATAAATTGGGGGATTAGGGAGGATTGAATGGTTTTTTTTGGTATGTAGATTTGAGCCTGCAGTTGAGGATGCAACTGGCCCCTTGGGGCTAGCTGGACTCTTTATAAGGATCCAGCTTGAACTAGGCTAAGCAAAAGTTATTTTGAGTTCTTCATTTGGTGCATGTTGGGGGAAAAAGGTCTTCAGTTCCAGTCCCTCGAGGGTGCTTGCCAATTTTATTTAAATCCAGGTCTTTAAAAAAAAAACAAAACACCAAAATAAACAAAAGAAGAGCCACCTCAAAAAAATTGTGGTAGGTGTCCCTGTGATGGATCAACTTGCTCAGCACTCTTTCTGGGCTTCAAGTATCATCAGCAACATCCAAGCACCAGGATAACTGGCACATCAGCCCTTGCCTCCATACAGGGCACCCACCAACTCTCAAAGCTCAGAGCACCTGACTTTGTGGAGAAGAGAGAGGGCACCCGACTTAAGATGGAGTAGTCCTCAGAACCAAAGCCGGCGGCAGAGGCTGGGGTCCTTCCTTGCTTACAACCCATCAGCAAAGTGCATCTCACCACCGCATGGCAAGTGATGCTCTTGCCATCCTGCAGCTAGAACAAAGCCACAGAACATCTCCCAGCTGACCTCCCGCCGCCCCTTTCCTTAGAACACAATACACAAAAGGACAAAAAAAATATAATTACATTTATGATAACTGTACAAAAGGGGGGAAAACTATTTCCTTTAAAAAAAGAAAAGAGAGGGGGGGAAACAAAGGAGGGAGGGATGCATTTTGTTGAGAATCATGCAAATGGTTTATGGGGGATCAAGAGATTTTTTTTAAAAAAGAAAATTATAGGGGGTTAAAAGAAAGATAAAAGAAAACACAATTAAGAGCCCCCACACAAGCAAAAAGAGAGAGAGAGAGAAAGATTTAGGTTGGGTACTGTTATAATCAATATTATTTTTTTGGGAGGGGGGACACAGACTTTTTGCATACCATTGATTCATTGGTGTATTAATGCACTTATAATTCCCAGCGTTAAGCTAACATACAGTAAATAAATACATAGTCCCAGGACGAGGGCAGGAAAAGAAGAGGGAGAGGCGGCAGACACCGGGAAACTATAGTTACTGATATCCAAGTGCAGAGGCTGAGGTTAGTCTTTGGCCATAAAGGGCATATGGAGAGTAGTAAGGTCCAGCTGCGGGCAAAGAGGGCACAGGCAACGCCCCGGCCGTGGGCAAGTGGCTCTTGCCATAAGGGTGGTACCGGTTTAGTCCCAAAGTGTGCGGGCTTCTCAAAGACAGCGATCCTGGCAAGGAGCTGGGGCTCCCGGGGCCGGTGGGTGGGAGATGCAGGTGGCAAGATGCCGCGGACCCCAGCCCAGAGGTAGGGTAGCCAGCCAGGAGTTTTTCTGCCCCTGGCAGTGTCGTGTGGGTCCGTAAGTGGGCCAGCAGTTCCTCCGAGGTGGCAAACCTCTTGTCGCAGGGTCCGCTGGCAGACACCCAGTTGCATATGTGGGGAAGGGCGTCGTTCTGGAGCATGAAGCCGTATGTGTAGAGCGGGTGGCCCGGCAGGCTGGGTGTGGCGCTGGAGAGGGTGGTGTGCAGAGGGTGCGTGGGGTACACCAAGGGATATCCGCTTTTCAGGCTGCCCGGGTCGTGCACGCAGCTGGAGCAGTTGCTAGTGCCCAAATGCGAGGCGCTGTGGTAGCTCAGGCAATAGGGGTCGCGGCATAATCCTTGCATGAAGGAAGGGGGAGAGGCCCCCGTCAGAGGGCTGGAGCTGGGGGGCTTGCCCGGTAACCCCAAGGCGCCAGGCAACTGGCTGCTCACCAGGCTGGGCTTGGTAGGGTCCAAGCTGGGCACAAACTGGGACGGGTAGCCAGCATAGGCCCCGACGATGGAGCCGTGGTAGCCGATGCTGGAGGGCGGCAAAGGAAACACCGAGTGTCCCGGCTTGTATGGGGACACGGGAGCCACGTGGCCCGCGCTCAGGGCCGGAGGCTCCGACTTGCGCCCGGAAGCGGCCTCGGTATGAGCTCCGGGCTCCGCGCTGCCCGCGCCGCTGCCCGCGCGGCTGCTGCCGCCGCCGCCGGCTCCTTGCGCGCCGTCGGGGCTGCCCTTGGCGGACATATCCATCTCCTTCTTGTCGTCGGCGCCTTTGCAATCCGCGTGCTGCGGAGAGCTGCCCCTCGAGCCGCCCGGGGAGGAGGAGGTGGAAGAGGACGAGGCGGTGGTGGCGGCTGCTCCGTGCGGAGGGAAAGGAGGGCAGGCGGCGCTGGGCACGCGGAAGCCCGTCTTCTCCGCGCCCGGCCCGGCCTGGTTCGGCTGCCCGCCGCCGCCGCCGCCGCCCTCCTTACGCAGATCGCCGCCTCCGCCGCCTTTGGAATAAGGCTTGAAGCTGGACTTGTCCTCGGTCGGCGCCTCGCCAAGCTGCTTGAGGGCGCCGCCGCGGCTCCCGGACTCCTTGTCCGGCCCGGAGAGCCCGGCCGAAGCGCCGGAGTTGAGTTTGGAGGCGGGCGGAGGGTCCGGCTTGCCGATCTGCGAGCAGGTTTGCGCCAGCAGCGCCAGAGGGCTCTTCTTGGCGTCCAGCTGGGGAAGGCAAGGCAAGGAGGGAGACAGAGAGGCTGGTTAGACCACGCAGAGCTGGACGCGTCGGGAGGAACTGCGCCCCCACCCCCAATACAGTACAACACCCACCCAAAGGACGCAACAACTCGGAAAGGCCCCCGGGGCTCACCGCGGAGATCCCGCAGACGGTGGCCTCTTCCCGGCCCTAGTTGCAAAAACACTCCTGCCTCGACTCCCCTACTATTTTAGGCTACCCCCCCCCCCCGCTTCTTTTTAGGAGCGCCACCCTTACGGAAATTCCCTCCGGCGGAACCGGACGGAAGTTTCCCCTCCTGCAAACCCCACAGACGACCAGATCCGGCCCGGGTTGGTTCACTCTCCAGACGGGCGCTCGGCTCATGGAGGGTCCGAACCCGGGTGAAAAATTCTCCCAGGAACCGAGAGACAAGCAGCCTCGGCGATTCACACCCGCTGCCTATCCCCCCCACCCCACCAACCCCGCTCCTTCCCACCCCGATTTGATCCACACCCGCCTTTGATCCACAAAGGCTCCGGGCGCGCGCAACGATCGTTGCCAAAGCCCACGAACCTTGCCTCGCAAAGTTCGGGCCGGGAGATCGAGGAACGAACAAGCGATTCCTCCGCCGTCGGAATTTGTGTTAAAATCACAGAACTCAAATAACTCTTTTTGCTTGGGACTCTATTTAAAAGGAAAGTCCGGGCGAGGATTTTCTCCCGTCCGGCTCCACAAATTCAGAGAGAGAGAGAACAGACGGACCTTCTAGTCCAAACCAGGGCGAGAGATCAGGGTGGGGCTCCCCAAGGGACCGCGGACCGACGCGAGGGAAGCGGGGCGCAGCTCTGGAGGGACGCAGGTGAGAAGCGCCCGGAGGTGGCGGCGGCGGCGGTGCCGGGGGACCCTCCCGTCGCCAAATTCGCCGTCGGGGGAGCGGCGTGCGCGGAGAGGGAGAAGCGCAAGCAGGAAAGAGCTGGCTGGCACTTACCTCGATGGGGCTGACGGGCGTGGAGGAGAGGGGCTGCAGGTATTCCGGGTGCAAGAGGTGTCCGCTGTGGGCGCTCAGCATCTTCAGCACCCTGATGGGAAGCCGGTTCGCCTGGCGCAGGGGGTCCTCCGGGGACAGGTGCGAGAGCGCCGGGCACGCGGCTCCCGGAGCCTGGGCTGGAGAGGACGAGAAGGTGGTGGCGGCGGCGGCTGCTACGGCGGCGGCCGCGCTCTTCCCTCCGCTGCTGGTGGGCGATGTCCTTGCGTTAGATCCAGCGGGCGAGCCAGCGCTCATTTGGGGGAGCGGGCCGGGCGGGGGTGGGGTCGGGCCGGGCTGGGGAGGGGGAGGGAGAGGCAGGAGAGGCGAGCTCCGCAGCGCCCAAGCCCGGGCGCCTGGCAGGAGCGGCGGCAAAGACGAGCGCACCGGCCCCAGCGAGACTTTAATGAAAGAATAATAATAATAAAAATAATAAAAACCTCTTTTGGAAAAAAAAAAGCCCTTCCCGTTCCCGGAGCCGCACGTCAAATAGCTCCGATCTTGCAGCACACTTCAAAGGCACCGGCCCTGCCCACCAATCGGGGACGTGCCAAGGAGCTCGGGGAGGGGCGATCGGCCGGTGGGGGGAGCTTAGCCTAGTGGGAAGATGTGGGGCTTAAAGGGATCTCGCGCGCTCTCGCGTTTTGGCACCTCGCGGATTGCCGAGGAGCTGCGTTTGCGAAAGGGCGCTGCGCCCTCGCCCTCGCCGGATTGCACCCAGGGGCGAGGCTGGCTCCCCCCCCACTTTCAAAAGGGGGGGGGGAGAAAGGCAGTGGGGAAAAGGGTGTGTGTCTATGGAAAACATTGCACTCACCTTTCTTCACTTAACTGAGCAGCAAAGACTTTTAAGCTTTACCTTCTTTCTTTTTTAAAGGAGGCGGGAATTCAGGAAGAACAAAAAACATGTAATATTCTTTCGTCACTGGAGAAGCGGGTGCGGGGAAGGCACTTACAGTACAGTACTTTAATGAGCTGCCTACGCTCTGTGCACTGAAAGTACATGGCTTCCCCCGAAGTATCCTGGGAACTGTAGTTTTGTGCTGGGAATTGTAATTCTGCTAGGGGTAAACTGTGGTTCCCAGGACACTTTTGGGGGAAGTCGTGTGCTTGAAGTATGGCGTGTATGCAGCCTTGCAAGCCTTTTCCAGCACATCCTTTCTATGGGTTGTTTCCAACTAAGCTCAGAGTAGACCCATTGAAGTTAATGAACCTCAGTTAGTCAGGTCCATTAACTTCAAGGGGTCCACTCTGAGTAGCGCTAGCATTGGAGGCAACCGGACGTTGTGTTTATTGAGTTGCTCTCTGTTTGTTTTGCTGGTACTGTAGTTGTTTTGGGCTTCCTTCCAGGAGGAAAAGCAGGAGATAAGCACCGCATGAAAAAAAGAAAAGAAAAAAAATGAAAGGTCACGGGTCTAAAATATGCTCTTCCGAAGCCAGTCCGCTGGTAAAATAGCTAAGAATGTGGAATGGTGAGCTTCAAAATTAAGAACATAAAAAGACTGAGCCCTGAAGGATCAGACCAGCATCCTGTTCTCTTGGGAAACCCTCAAGCAAGGCCTGCTTGCAACAGCAGCCTTCCGGCCACTTGTGCTCGGGCCCATCCCATAATATGGATTCACTAGAGGGCCTTTAGAATCAGCCACTGTGGTCTCTGCATTATGGGGCCATCCTAGGCACAGGAACACAGGAGGCTGCCTTCTGCCTATCCCATGGGTAGGCAAACTAAGGCCCGGGGGCTGGATCTGGCCCAATCGCCCTCTAAATCCTGCCTGTGGACGGTCTGGGAATCAGCGTGCTTGTACATGAGTAGAATGTGTCCTTTTATTTAAAATGCTTCTCTGGGTTATTTGTGGGGCATAGGAATTCATTCATACCCCCCCCCCAAAAAAAAATATAGTCCGGCCTCCCACAAGGTCTGAGAGACAGTGGACCGCCCCCCTCCTGAATAAGTTTGCTGACCCCTGGGCCCTAGCCAGACCATTGGTCCATCTAGCCCTCCACTGTCCACACTGATGGGCAGCAGCAGCAGCAGCTGTGCAGAGTTTCAGGCAGGGGGCATTCTCAGCCCTTGATGGAAAAGCTGAAGACTGAACCTGGAGCTTTCTGCATGCACTTACCCTTGGAACCCCCTGCCTTATTGACACCAGGCAGCACCTTTCTGTTTTTGCTCAAGCCTATCCAGACATGGAGATAGAAGTCACCTGTGTTGTATTTCTTTTTTGCTACTGTTGTTTTTAATCGTATGGAATAATTTTTGAAAAACTTGGTTTTTTAAAATTGATAATTTTATTTTTTTAGTTTTGTAAATGGATTTGAGGGGTTTTGTTTACAGTCGAGTGGTATATAAAACTTATTAAACGAAATAGATGGACATAAAGGAAAAGCAGATGTTGTGCCTCTGAGCTACCACATATTTACTTGAAAGAAAGTCTCACTGGTCAGACCTTCAAACTTTATAATAGGAGATGATATATCAATGACAAAAAATTTAAATGCTACTATGAAAAAACCAAGCCCTTCTCTCTACCAGAGCAGTAAACAATGGTGTATAAAAGGTGAAACTTTTATTATACTTACCAGCAGCGTAAAAATGCCAAGTAGCATTGAAGACCACAAGTTTCCCACCACCAGAGGGCTGGCAGATCAGTTGATGGATACCTCAGTTAGAAGCCAGGCCAGCAGATCATGACCAGGAGAAAGTTGATGGAAAGTTGGAAGAAAGTTCAGGTACCTTGATTTGTTTGTTTTTTAACCCACTCCCCCCTTTTTGCCTTCTGTGGCAGCCAAGCAAGAGTGCAGCTTGGTCCCACGGGGCTGTGGGTACCATGCATGGCCCTGGCACCAAAATTTGTGGGTGCCCGGCCCCTTCATGGGGAATTTTGTGGGTATTTGGGTAGGGCTTTAGGGAGTTGGTACCTATGTGGCCAAGTGTCCTGTTTTACAAAGGGCAGTCCTCAAATGGCATCCTCCATTTGGAAGGCTGTCTGGTCCAAGCCCAGTTTAAATGGAAGGAACCATAAGAAATTAGAGCAGGGGCTGTGAAATTGCCCATCCGAGACCAGGGAGAAGAGTTGGTGGAAGAAGATTGGAAAAAGTTTAAAGACTATCTACAGAAATATTGCAAAATTAATGAATGTTAGAATGATGTTGGATAGAAATTAAGTGGTTTTTAGCTGTAATATTATAAGGGAATATGAAAAATGGATTATTAATAGGTTAAAATTCAATGTCACAATATTTTAAGATTAAAGATTAGGATAAACAAAGAGGGAAGGATTTGCTGAACTAACAAACTGAATTGGAATACAAAAAAGGGAGGTGCGAGGAGGTCCGGGAAACAAGCCAATGAAAGATAAGTAATGGAAAGATTGAGTTGTTTTTAACTACTTTTATTTTGTATTTTTTCTTTTTTCTTTTTTTATTTTGTAATATTTTGAAAATCTTAATAAATATCTTTTAAAAAAAAGAAATTGCCCATCAAGGATTGATGAAATGCAGACTGTGCAGGCACATACAGTAGGTCATCTGGGTGGCACTCGAGTCTCATAAATTCTGAGCACATGATAAAGCATGGGGAACTGTCATTTGTTAAGGCTGCTGGGAATTGTAGCTCTGTGAGAGTAAACGATAGTTCCCAGGATTGTATGATGGACGCAATGTGCTTCAAATCTATGCTGTGGATATTCTGTAATATTCTACAGCCTTTTAAATGCATCTGCATTTTCTGTTTTGTTTTAATTATTAACTTGTTTTTAATCCTATATTTTATTCTGTGAACTGCCCTGATATCTTATGAAGAAGGGCAATATGTAAATCTAATAAATAAAAATAAAATGGCCTGGCCAGAGTCTACTCCACTATGGGGACACATGTATTTCTATTTCTGTTTGAGTAATTCTTTCCACATTTGCATCTAGATGTATAAAGTGACATATGCAGATTTTGTGCAAAGCTGTGCCCTCCTTTGTTGGTGTGTTAATGATGCCTAAGCGGACTCAATGCTAGGTTGCAGGGGTCTGGGGAAATGGTTGCTCACTCCCCCTTTGGCCTCCCCACTCATAACAACAACAATCAAAGATGAGCAATTCAGACAAATTTAAAACACTCCTGAAAATTGGGTCTCACTGGGTTCCACCATTATTAGGACAAAACCGGAATCCCTGGTCTATTGGAGACATTGGCAAATACTTCCCCTTTTATGGGGAAAGGAGTCAGCAGATGCGAGCTCTTGTCTTTCTTTGGAACTGATTGGGCTTTCCCAAGAAGGCTCTTTTCCAACTTTGGGAAATGTGGCTGTAGAGACAGCTATGGCCCCTACTATGGGGTAGATTTGCAGCTACCTAGACTCTCCATGGGAGGGTGGGGTGACCTTTGTAAAGTTTACAGTGAATGGGCAGTGCCGTGCAAGAAACACAAATCGCTCCACCCACAGTAATTAGGCTTGGAAACAATTTTCAGTTGCAGCCAATGGAAGGCTCTTTTCATGACTAACTGGCGTGTATCCAGCAAAATCCTACTTGGCTTATGTCCAGTCATTTCAATGGGTCTACTCTGAGTAGGACTAAAATTGCACATAACCAATGCAGGAGCTACCTTTCGGTACACCAGACTGCAAGCTTGTCTTCGAAAGGAACCCATAGAATGGAAGGTAGGACTTTACAATGCTGATGAGACCAGAGAATTTCCAAGGAAATGAAAACTCACTTTAGGCAGCCATGAATACTACCAAGTTCTTACCGTCTAGCATGCAATACTTCAGGGCTGTGGGGAGAAAAGCAATCACAAGTTGTCGGAGAATAATTCAGTGCAGAGATAGAATCAAGTAGCGGTCAGGTAGATTGATGAGTGTTGCCGACAAGTGGAAAGCAGGCATGAATGGCACCCAGAGCAGCAGAGAATATTGCCATAAATCTAGGCGGCTGGGACGTCTCCAAAGGCAGGTTCACACACAATCATTTCAAAGTGATGGCTGACACCACAAAGCCACTGTGAGATGTCTGAGTTGCGAATGCTTCTCAGGTATGTGTCCAGACACAAGCTTAGCAATTCCTTCAAAGTCACAGCTGAGTCAAGTGGCCGTGGAGCTAAGATTTCAGCATGTGCCTGATATGAGTTAGAGCACTCACATGGCTGGGCATAGCTGAGGAAAAGTGGCTCTAGCAAACTAACCCCTACCCCCAAATGATGAGCTGTAACCAATGCTAGCCATTCTTAAAGTAGACCTGTTGAAATTAAGAGGTCTTAACTCTGACCAATTTTAATAGGTCTCCTCTGAGTAGGAGTTTGTGGCTACAACCCTGTTGTGTTCATGGATATTATACAGTAGGACCATAGCTGCAGGGTTTCTTATGGGAAACTGTGTTATTACAAGTGAATCCTGCAAGAAAATGTTGCAGAATATGCTTACTTCCTAACAGTAGTGCTCCTATCAGCCATTTGCAACAACCAGCCACACCTCCTTGCAAGTTATTCTATTCCATTCCTTTGTCCACATTTTCATTTTTTGTTCCCAGCTGACACTCAG